GCAATGTAAGAGTATACTAATCTGTAAAACCTAAGAATTTGGTTTTGGTCATCTGAACACGGGTGGAGCCGCGGGCAATGCTAGTACAAACTATAAAATAATATATAATTGAAATAAAAATAAAATATTTGATTTTATTTATAGACCCACTAAAAAGCAGAACATAAGATTTTCTACCTGACCAAGAAAGTATACAAAGATAGGTTTTGTTTTAAAGAGTTTTAAGCCTAAATACATACTTACATTTTATTAAGTTTAATCTAATTCATATAAGAAATGTAACATGTTCGATTACTCTCTTAAAAACATTTATAAATATCGTTATATAATTAACTAGCGACACACCCTCGCTTCGACTCACCCTAGCTAGCTTCCCAATACAAACTTTCATCCCCATTTTCATGCCCTTAAGGCATTATTTCTGGGATAAAAATTATCCTATGTCCTTCCCAGGCTCTCAAACTATCTTTTTACCAAATTTCATCTAAATCGGTTCAGTAGCTCCAGAGATTACCCCCTACAACGTCACTAACTCACAACCTCACAAACTTTACCTCTTTATAATATAAGTATAGATTATTCTGTAGAATATTAACTTTTAGGTTTAGGTTATCGCTATGACCTATGATTATGTAATATTGTAATTTAAATCGAATATTGTCCAATATCTATACAAAACCTCCGGACTGAATGTGAAAAGGGATAGTGAGTGAAACTCGAATAGCTAGATTTGCTCTCGTGTTCGAAATCAACTTGAGGATTAGGTATACTCGTATCTGCTAAAGTTATAGCCGCAAAGTCAATTACCGTTCGTGATAAATGTATCCTTAGATATATTATATATTCTTCTTCTATATATATATTGGATATTATATATAACCAGTGGCAACTCAAAACAAAAACAAATATCCCACGGGAACCGTACATTTTTTCGGGATAAAAAGCAGCCTATATGTTATTCTCATGTTTGAGATATATTATTGTAAAATTTAATTAAAATCCATTTAATAGTTTTTTCGTGAAAGAGTAACAAACATCCATATAATAATAATTATATTACATATCCAGACATCCTCACAAACTTTCGCATTTATGATATTAGTAGAATAAATATGATATTCCGCACGTTATGTCAATAGAGCAACGTATCGACTTATGATAATATAAGAACATAGAAGAATTAATTATGCAATAGCTGTAAAGCGTCAGTGAGTTTTTTGTAGTTGCTCCAATGAGGGTGGCATTTTCAATTTATGAACGAATCCTCTTTAAAAATAAAATAAAGATAGAAAAGAATTAATCATAAATCATAAATAAATATATAAATATGTTGGTACATTAACACACAGCACTATCTAATTCCATGGTAAACACCAAGCTTGTGATATGGATACCAGATGGTTGATACACTACATATATATATATATAACTTTAAATACATACAAATTATAGATATAAACACCCATGACTAGAGTACAAACATTCGTGCTCATTACACAAATGAATGCCCCCAGCGGGACTCAAACCCGCGACCGCTGGCACAGCAAGTAGGGTCACTACAAACTGAGCCAAACGTGTCGTCAAAATCATGCAATAACTATAATATTTTTCTATTTCAAAATATTATTTAGGAACGCAAATAAATAATAATGTATTTGACGAAATATTTGCTTATTAAACTTAATACCCTATTATTATTTTAAAATCAAACCAGGCTAATATGCTACTCATAAAACAAGTGGTTATTTCATCAAATGAAAATATCCTCTCAATAATCAGAATAAATCTAATGCCATCTCTACAACAATTTCCTAATGGACCAAGTTCCGCAGAAGTATCTATCTAGGACAGCATATTATGCAACCGGAAGAGATACAGATGCTCCCCGCTCAGAAAATCGGGAAGTTCCTGGAGTCAACAGGACTAAGCGGAGAACCTTAATTCATTCCAAAGGGAGCTACAATGGACCATAACTTGTCGACGTAGCTAGGGCCGGCCTCGGCACCACACCCAATAAAATAAATAATAATAATGGATCAAGTTTCTACATATCGCAAAAATAATATATAGTACTAAGTTATTTTCAATTAAATAAGATGAGACTCAATATATTGCGATAGAAAGGATTGCATAAAGATGATTTATTATTTTATTTATTTTAACACACGAATAAAAGTAAGTGAAAGGTGATTAATTTTAACTCACAGCGTTGAGTTACGTCACTTAGTACGTTTTTTGTGTGTTTTGTTGTTAAATTGTTGTTAAAATGTTTAAGAATACTGTAATCTAAACAATAAGTTGAAAAAATTCAAAAACAACACTAGAAATTTACTAAATACGTTTGGTATTCAATTATAACATAGATAAAGAGTAAATATATTATAAGTATAGACGTATATAAATTATTGTGAAATAAAGTATTCATATATTATTTACTAGCGAATCACCTCGCTCCGCTCGGGTTCGTCCCTACTTACGTTTTAAGGTTTAGTATAGATTTCTTAGAGATGAAATATTTTCCTGCAGTAAAAGGTATCCTATATTATGTTGACCCAGATAACCAGCTATCATCATATCAAATTTCATCAAACAGACAGACAGACAACATTTCTAAAAACTATAGATTCGGTATCTGTATCGATAATAATGACTATTTCAATAAGAATTTCCAAAAAAATATTTAATTTACAGATTCGATTTAGAATTTTATTATATGTATAGATTTATTATTTTTTATACCAAGGAAAAAATAAAAAATAAATAAAAAAGAAAACAACAGAAAACGAAAATGTTTATAAAAAAATTATAACAATATTATGTGCATTTCATTATAATCTTCACTCGTCTATATTTATATACATAATACCCATAATTATTTATTCTATAAATAAACACATTGTTATATGAAACTATGGCAAAAGGTGAAATACGTTCACACACTAAACAAAACGTGCATTTAGCTTTGTAACATCTTGAGAGTACTGACACATTATAAATGTATTGAGAGACATCTCTATATAAAATTCCCATACTATATTTAAATATATAATTTTCTCATATATTAGTTTTTCGTTGTAATGTATGTATTTCTTTAACTAATATGTTACATCACATCTAAGACTGACCGGAAATCACTAAAAAATTCAACTTTAACCTAAAATTGCATAACCTATAGAGAGCAACATGTTAATAATTAATGGAAGCGGATATGGTAGTTAAAGTGTGGCATAGTTTCGTAAAGTTCACCTTCGAATTACGTACAAAGACTCAACGCTTAATTTATAATAATAAAATACGACGAAATGTATGCAACTGTGGAGTGTCTGACACCGCTTTCTATGCAGAGGTCGCGGGTTCGTTTTATTTGGGGGGAAATTTAATTTTGTTGTGCTGTGTGTTAATTTCCCAACATATTTATTTATTAACAAAGATTATTGAAATAGATCAGTTTCAAAGTTTTTGCCAAAGGGTAAACCAAAACCATAAACAATTAACCTCATATTATAAACATCTAGTAGTACATCTCCTATTTAAACCTTAATAGTAATGAAGGTTCCGGTTGAGATTAGAACTATTGCTACACTTTCGCTCTGCGTTATTTACGCTTTGTAAAAATATAAATATTTATTAAACATAATATTATAATTTTATTAAATTAACAATAAAACTAGCACTTTAGAAACTTACTTCAATTAAGTTAATATTACATTAAATATTGTGAAATAGTACGTCATTGTTTTATCTATACATATAATAAAATTGTAACTAAGCCGAATCTGTACATTAAATATTTTTTAGAAAATCTTATTGAAATAAACATTATTATCGATACAGAGGCCGAATGTATAGTTTTAAAAAAAAAATCTGTCTGTCTGTCTGTCTGTTACCGCATCACAGAAAAACCACTGGAGGGGTTTTGGTGAAATTTGGTATGGTGATAGCTGGTAATCCGGGTCAACATATAGGATATTTTTTACCGCGGGAAAATATCTCATTTCTGAGAAAAAATACAAAAACTGTAATGTAAGAGTATACTAATATGTTAAACCTAAGAATTTGGTTTTTGGTCATCTGAACGCGGGCGGAGCCGCGGGCAATGCTAGTATCTGTATAAAATACCTATTTATGCAGATATGAGGATGTTTCATGTTGTTTGTGCTGATAAAATTTTTATGTAGGTATAAGTAATTCGTCTATAATTATACTAAAATAAACACGTTCAATCATTTTTTGACAGATCTCAAAGAGAAGTCACTCAATTCATCTTTTTTTTTGTGGATATACCTATTACGTGATAATGTTGAAAATTGCAAATCGATTATCATAATTCTTTTTAAAATGAATCGATATTGATATACCTGTGGTTTTATATAAATTATCAAAAAAATCAACTCTAAGGGAGAATTAATAAGTGAAGTAATTGTATAGTAAGTGTAAATTTTTTCTTAAAAATTAATCAGGTAATTAAATCTATGATGTACCGGAAGTTACATCTGTTTACCAGTGAAAGGTATATTACTACTTGTTACGTATATAGTCTATTTTTTATCATTTCCTTATTCTTCTTAATAAGTAAGAGGTCATAGGTTCAATGTCCGCGTAATACACATAAAACGATACGAGAATGAATCCGGTTGAATTGCAACAATGTTGAGATTATTGTCGATGCTTTTACAATCTACACATACTTAGGACTCGTGAATACCTACTTAGGACTCAATTAGATTTTGATTAATCTGACTTCTATTATAATTGTGAATGTTTGTATGTGTGTATGTTTGTTACTACATCATGTTGAAACAAATGTACGGATTTAGGTGAAATTTAGTATACAGATATACTATGACTTGGGGTAACACATACGCTACTGTTTGATACCAAGAGACGTTCCTGAACGAAGTCAAGTTTCGAGTGTAATATATGTATATAAATAGTTATATAGTTAGTTTTTAATAAATCCTGTAAACTTCTTAAAATACAGTCGTAATTGGTGATTTCTAATTAAGGTATATGTTGAGTGATATCTTACCATCTAAATGCGCTGGGTACTTGTGTGCCCCAAAGCCAGTAGGGGCTGAAGGGGCAGTATGAGAGTACTGTGGTGCCGTAGCACCGTATGCGCTCGGTGGGCCATATTCTATGTGTGAGGTGGGCGGAGGTCCGTATACTGCTGTGGCTGGAATGATTTTGTGGAAGTTTAATTTAAGGTTTTAAGTGTTTATTTTATTGAAAGTGAAATTTCGTAAAATGAAAATGCATTTTAATAACGGTATCTCTATGTGTTAGGTAGCTACATATGTTTACGGTTCACCAGCTTTTCTAATACTCAATTAATAGTGTTTTTTTTTAAAAGTAAACTAACGATTCCCCTTAAATAGATACCAAAATTATATTATTATTCTGCGAAAAATTGAAAAATAATCAGAATTTGTTAATGTTTCTGTTAATTGCTGATGTTAAATTTTTTATCAAAATAAATAACGGTGACCAAGATATGACCTGTAAAGATTTTTCAGTTGAAATTGTGAAGTCTGGAAAGTAAAGTGTTAACGCTCCTACGAGTACTAGAGTTTTGGCAGATTTTAATGGTTTCGTATCCAAATGATCCAAACGCCCAAATGCAATAACCCAACAGCGAAAACAAGTTAATATGGTCAGATTTACGTTGTCACATCACTCTTAAGAGTCTAAAACTTAGATTTTATGGCCAGTTAGCACACTCATATGTCATAAATTTTAACTACCTATAACTATAAACATTAAACTTTCAAACACTGTTAAAGTACAACTCAATATTGGTCAAGGAATAGTATTGTCATTTATCCTAAATTATTTCATTAAATGGATTTACGGCCGTGTATAATGTGAAAATTATTTTGGCATTACCATTGTAACTATACTAGCGACTCACCCTCGCTTCGCTCGAGTTCGTCCCTAGGTACGTTTTAACGGGTATGTAAGCGCACAATACAAGTATTTGAATTTCTCGGCCTTTCTATACAATAATATGCATGTATTATATATATAAACCTTCCTCTTGAATCACTATCTATTGTAAACTGCGTTGAAATCCGTTGCGTAGTTTAAAAGATTTAAGCGTACAAATAGCGGGAGCGACTTTGTTGTATACTATGTAAAGATAGAATTTATAATTAATATATAATAATATTATAAATATTAAAAATTTGGGAGTATGTATAGATGTTTGTTACTCTTTCACGCTAGAACGGCTGAACAGATCTGGATGAAATTTGGCACAGAAATAGATTATTCATTATAGACTGGAATAACACATAGGCTACTTTTTATCCTGAAAAAATATACGGTTCCCGAGAGATAGATTTGTTTTTGTTTTACCAGAGGCGAACCCGAGCGAAGCGAGGGTGATCCGCTAGTATTAGAATATTAAATATCGATATAGAATATTAGATGTCACAGTGCTAGTATTTCCGAAGAGCAAGCAATAATAAAATGTAGCTGCTGTACGAGAAAAAAATCTCAAAAATTACTCACACACTGGCTTCTTTTCACTCAAAGCTGCAGAACTGACAATTTTCTTTCCAAAATTGCTGACTGCATCTCCCTTAGACGAGATCACTTTTCCTAAAGTAGCAGCTAAGGCTCCACCTCCTTTGATAAGCTGTCCCTTTAATATGGTGACTCCACCAGTAATAGCTTTGACGGCTTGGAACAAGGTGTATAGGATGGATTTCTTTAAGCCCAAGAAGTCAACTTTCTCGCTATGCTGTGAAAAAAAAAAGAATTAATATATCGGACCACTATTATAGCTGCGAAGGTGTAAGGTGCGTGTAAGTGTGTGTATTTTTTCACACTTTAACTGCCTCGGTGGTGTAGTGGCTAGCATGTATAGCTGCACACTCGGAGGTCCTGGGTTCGATTCCCGGGTTGGGCCAAGTTTAGTTATTGAGTCTTTCTGTATAGTAAGTCTCAGTAACAGCCCGGAGTTGGAAAGTTGGCGGTGTTTCACCCCCGTGCCTCGGAGAGCACGTGTCGCGTCGGTCCTGCGCCTTAACTCTCTCTGGTCATGTCGAGTGGTCGTCCCACCAGAGTATGAGAGTGACAGGAATAGAGAGTGCACTTGTGTCTGCGCGTAAACTTGTGCACTATAATATCTCCCGCGCAGTTGGCTCGTCTCAATGAGATTGGCCGCCGTGGCCGGAATCGGTCAGGAGAACATCATTTTTTTACACTGAAAATACTATGCGGATTTGGATGATACTTAGTATCCAGATAGATTATGATTTGGAGTAACTCATAGGCTACTGTATGGCTTCAACTGGCCGAAATGAGGGTAATGCACTACACACAGTGTAATATATATTATATACAAGCGATTTATCTTCGCTTCGTCTGGAATTATGTGAATTGATTGAATATAGGTTTCGTTTCTGTATGTTATTGTACTGATTTCGATTACTTCTTTGTGCGAATGAAGATATCTTAAGTTATAGGAACTTTACATATAAGAATTAAAATTTGTTTACAATATAGCATAGAGAACACATATAGAAGAAGTTCGTAAGTACGTGTAAAATACCAGACTATATACAAGATTGTCTTAGTCATCTAGTTATATTTTCAATTACGTTACAAATCACTCAAACATTTATAAAAAATCATTCAATAATTATGGTATGTAGTTCTTTATAATCATAATCGCATTTCATTTACATTCACAGCGATTATGATATAAAGGTTATAATTATTCATGATTATTTATGATTATTTATTGAAAGACTTACTGGTTCATATGAATATCCTTGATCGTGATGCCCAGATTTGCTAGAGGCGGATGATATGAACGATGTGACACCAGCCGACGCTTGTCCTAACAGACCCACTTTACTCTGTATCCCTGAAGAGGCCTTGGACACGACTGCTGATGTTAACGTATGCGCTGAAGATCTCTTTGTTCTGATCGTAACAAATAAAACAAGTTTATTATGGTAAAAAACAAGAATGTACAGTAACTGCATTGACTTAGAGTATTTTTCTTGTGTTTCAAAATTTTGTTTTTAAATGTCAAAAATTTTGTCATGTTTTTTGTTGTATGTATTAAGCACTTTATTTAATATCTTAGTAAATTAATTTATTATCGTCGTCAACCGATTTCAATGATTATTCTTTCCATAAACAGGTCCTCAAAGGCGGTACTTAAAATATACGAGGCAATAAATTTCAAGTTTACAGTAAGAATACTATTAAATGATTTTCATTTGGTGTCTTTTCACTACATATTATAAAATACAGTCCCCCGACGCTTCTGTCTGTCTGAACGCGATAAACTCAAAAACTACCGAACGGATTTTCATACGATTTCCAACAAAAGGTGAAGTGGTTCATGACGAAGGTTTAGGAGTATAATTCATTACGGTTTTGTGTAAATTGGCTGAAATATGACGATGTTTGTTGAAGATGTCGGAAAATATCATGACTGGGAGCTTTATTGGTGTGCACCGCGTAAACTAATAAAGTTATATGAAAACAATGTATTACAAAATTATTCCTCTTAAAAATATATTCCTATTAATATGTAGCAACGCTATGTGCACGTACCTAGGGACGCATCCGAGCAAAGCTGGGGTACGTCACTAGTTTATAATAATTTGATGTATACCTCATAATTTCGTCTGCCGCTAAGCCTTCAGCTAGTGCTTCGAGTTGTTGTGGTGACATTCTGCTGATGGCAGCCATATCGATGATATCTAGCTGTAGTGGTACCGGTGCTGCCAATGATGTCGCCACGCACACCATGCATATCCAAAACTAGAAAAAAAAATATAATTTTGAAATACATGTTACAGACAGTACACAAAATACACAATATAAAACTTGTGGGACAGTGAGTGAATAATATATAAAAGTAATTAAATATGTAATGGAATAAATAGCGATAGATAATATGTGTTTATTGATGTATTTACTTGTTTTTAATTAGTTGATTTTTTCAGTCAACATATAGAAAAAAGTATTCACTTTTTTACTATGGGACAATGCTGCTCATTTTTAAGAAAAAAATCGGACAAGTCCGAATCTGTCTAACACTCGAGGGGTTCCGGGGCATGATATTAAATTTATGCTTGGTTTCAATATACTAATTTGAAAGTAAAATAAAATTTATGGTAAATAATTTGCTAATTATTGTAACACCGGCATATTTTTGCCATGTAATTAAAACATGAAAAATTAATTTATTACTTTGTATCAATTTAATTAAGTATGTTTGTTTATAATAACAATTTTTTTTAATTATATTTGATAATATTTTATTCACTATTCCGAGTAACTACATATAATAAAATTCTAACTAAGCCGAAACCGTACATTAAATATTTTTTTGGAAAATCTTATTGAATTGGTCATTATTATCGATACAGAGGCCGAATCTATAGCTTTTAGAATTTTTTTTCTGTCGTCTGTCTGTCAGTCTGTCTGTTACCGCATCACGGAAAAACCACTGGAGGGATTTAGATGAAATTTAGTATGATAATAGCTGGTTATCCGGGTCAACATATAGGATACTTTTTACTGCCAGAAAATATGTCATCTCTGAGAAATCTATACTAAACCCTAAAACGTAAGTAGGGACGAACCCGAGCGGAGCGTGGGTAAGTCGCTAGTAATAATATAATATATTCTAATTTGTTTGATTACTTTGAGCAAAACGACCGCCATTTCAAAAAATTTTTATCTGTGACAATACAAATTGTCAGTCGATCAATAGAGTAGTAGAATAATTCAATTACAGAGAATTTTAGATCAATATTTGTGAAATAATTACGTTACATGACAACATGTGATCAAGTCACACGCAAGCTAAGCATTCATACCTGATAGACAGATTTATATTTTAATGATATATGTATATGACACTAGTAACTCACCCTCGCTCCTCTCGGGTTCGTCCCTAGATACGTTTTAACGGTTAATAGGTATATATTTCTCAGAGATGAGATATTTTCCTGCAGTAAAAAGTACCCTGTGGGTTGACTCGGTTAATCTGCTATCATCATACGAACTTTCATCAAAATCTGTCCAGTGGTTTTCTTGTGATGCGTTCCCAGATAGTCAGACAGATGAAAATTCTAAAAATTATAGAATCGGCCTCTGTAACGATAATAATGACTATTTCAATAAGATTTTCCAAAAAATATATAGTGTACAAATTCGACTCGGTAAGAATTTTATTATAGGTATGTATAGATAGATATACATAGTGCCCCGGTCCGGTCCGGTCTGTCCGGTACCCGGGTCCGTGTTAGATTCTGTCAATAAGCAGTTATTCGTATTGACTATAAAGAGGTCTTGGTTTTTGTAACTTATGTACTTTTTTGAAACCTAACGCGTATCCGAATTGATACTTTAGTAGGAGCCGATGAGTGTGCTATGTTAAGATAACATTTACAGCTTTCAAAAAACATTCTGTCGCTGACACTGTTTTCTACTTGTAACATACTTACCTGTGCTTCACCTGTAAAAACCTTTGGCGCCCCCGGGTGGGCCCGAACCACCAACCTTTCGGTTAACAGCCGACAACAACTTATTATAATATATAATTATAGTAACAATAATAACTAGTATTGTAATAAGGTTTTTACAGGTGGAGCACAGGTAAGTATGCTACATACTTTTTTTTTATTTGACAGCATCCTTTTAGGTATATTATTAGAATTATTTGTATGTATGTACGTATGTACTATTATTATATCCATCGCGATAGTAATAGCAATTCACTACTACCTACCAACATATCTACGTACGTACGAGTAGATCCGGTCACGTTTATAAATAAAAACGAAAGTAATTGAGCATTGACTTATAAAGACATCATAAGACGAAATATTTAATGTAATAGTTTAGGAGCTGCTTTTATTTTGAAAAAATCATGTATAACTACGCTTAAATAACGTAATGTGTATGTATGTATGTGTGTACATTATAAGGTTAAAATATATAAACACACGATTATTTCTAACAAATTAAGAAAATAATGTATAAATACATATATATATATATATATATATGTAATAATTTACCGTACTTAACTACCTGGTAGTTAACATAATGACAAGTAATTATTTATTAATTTTTATAATATTTTGTAACTATCTAGTTAGGAAAACAAAAAAAAACAAAAACAAATATTAACTCTATGTAAATAAACTAACTAAAATGTAGTAGGTAGTTACAAACTTTTCATAATAGGTCCCCTACTGGCCACTATCGTGTCTTAAAAAAATGCACCTAATGGACATCAAACCCACAAACTACTCAATGGAACGACCTATCTTCAAGTCACCAGTCATAGTGCAAATATTATTATGTACATCTAGGCTTTATTATTACAATCAACACGAACTCTTATATTGCAATTAAGGACAGATAATGACTCAAACTACATATGTAATTATTTACGTAATAGGTACCACATGTAACATAATGACATACCTATTATTAGTTTAATAAGGAAGAAGTTATACTACTTGGTGTCAACTATCGATAGAGATATTGTGTTCATAAAGTTCAGTGACTCTGTTATACAATTTGGTATTAGATTGCATAAAAATCACACTTATATTATAATAGTCCTAATTTTAATGCCTCTGTGGGTAGGAAAATTACGTTTAGGCGGTGATTGGCCCCTTGGATCGGTCTGTCTTCTTGTAAAACGTTTTAAAATAGTTGTCTGGTGAACATATATAAAAATGGAGCATCAGAATTTACGTGAAGTTAAGTAATTATTTTAGGATCTTTAAAGTGTCTGCAAAGCAATACGACCAACGGAAAGTCTTTGGGAGTATTGACGACTTATTTTAACGATATTGTTTTAAATATACCTGAAAATCAGCTTGGAGAATGTACGTGAGGTAAGTAATCTTTTGAGGTACCTTGATTACCTGATACCGGGAAATTGGCCGTCTAACCAAGTTAGCAGGTAAGCATGCGATCTTAGTACATACTAACACTACCCAATCGTCCACATTTCGTTTGTCAGAAAATACGTGACGTCTGGCGGCCTTGGGATCTTGCTCTATAAATTCAAAAGTTTGTGAGTGGATTGAGTGCAGCCATAAAATTTGTTAACTAAAAACATTATTGAAGATTATAAAATTCAACTCTTTTTATCTTCACTACGGGGGAGTTCAGGCCTTAGTTTACCACGCTGGCCTAATGCGGTTTGGCGGACTTCACATGTTTTTCAAAAACTTGCTAGCTTGCTAGATTCTCTCAAATATGCAGGTTTTCTAACGATGTTTTTCTTTTCCGTAGGACAAGTGATAATCATACATCTTAGAAAAGGATAAACACATGAAAATATCAAAGGTGCAAGGCACAGAATGAACCCGCTTCACTCAATTTCCTTAGCGAGCGCGATACCACTAGGCTATCACTGCCTTCCAAATTAAAAAGTTACAATGACTTCAAAATTATTTAAATAGCAATAAACAATTTGTATGATATTTTTGAAATCTATATATATGGCACTAAGGAACCATTATAAATAGTATATATGTACCTACTTCATTAATTAAAATCAATCGATCGATCGAATAACAACAATTGGCTAAAAATATACGTAGCGGAACTTCCCTTTTCTGAAGTCGGAATGAATAATATTAGTAAGGATATACATACATATGCTTCACAATATGATATCCGTTGCGGTCGCGGTTACCGAAGTCTAGCTTCCGTCTAAATCAGATCGGTATAACGCCATAACAAAAAGCCAATTCCTTCCTTAAACTATATTAACGAAATAACAAACTTCTTTCTACTCAGTATTTTTACTTAATTATAAACATTAATATTAAAGGTAACTAGCACTTGTTCTTTTTATACATATACTAGCGACTCACCCTCGCTTCGCTCGGGTTCGTCCCTAGGTACGTTTTAAATTAAAATGGATATAGTATGTTATCCTTAAGAGATAGATATATGCCATCGCGGACTTTTCTGTAGACCTATATAAGATACACAATTCCACCATACATTATTTTGTTATATCTCGAAGGGTTTAGGCCGCGTTTTCGTTGAATGCTCCCAGACGTCTTATTTTTCCGACACCAACAAATATCGTTATATTTTAGCCAATGTATACAAAAACTTCTCAAATTATCTACTAAAACCGTCCTTTTGAATCACTCTATCTATTAAAAAAAACCGCATCAAATTCTGATGCGTAGTTTTAAAGATTTAAGCATACATAGGGATATAGGGACAGAGAAAGCGACTTTGTTTTATACTATGTAGTGATAAACAATTAACACTTTTTAATTGAGAAGGTTTACTTACTTTTTAAATAACTCAGCAATAAATTTTCTGCTTTGTTGCGCTTAAAAATATATTTTTTTAAATCTAATGCCTTTATTTGTGCAAAATTGCATTATAATTTCAAATTTATTTTTCTCAGTGGTAATTTTGGTATTACTCGCCTTGGCAGTGAAAAGCGAAAGTTAAACGTGCGGAGCGACCACAGCGCAGACTGCCTTCCGCTTTAATCGTAAACATCTATGTGGCTATTAAACTAGCGAAAACAAACAATAATAATATTTTGATTCCGAATTATGTGATAAAACAATAATATTATTAAAAATCTCAAACAACTGAAATGCATCTCTTAGATTCGATCAAACAAAAAGACAAAAGTACTACTACGAGCTACTACTACTACAAGTAATTATACTTTTATCTAAATATAAAAAGATTTGTAAAATTTTAAATAAAGCTATCTTATCGGATTTTTGCGGATGCGGATATTTTCCCGG